TTTTAAGCCGCCGGATCCGGGATACGAACTGTGGTCGACTACATGGGAGTCCAGCAACATAGCCATTACGCTAACTGCTGGTCCCTAAATGAACTTTATTTACTTACTTATTTATTTAAATTTTGCCAGAGAGGGACAGAGTGAGAAGAGAGAGAGGGAGAATGAGAAACCAAGTCGATAAGACTGAACTCAAACGTCCAACGCCCTTAACCACCTCGCCACCTGCTGCCCCAATAACAATTCTTTAAAAAAAGAAAAAGATGTTGATGGGCCTGGCAGGTGGTATGGTTGTTAAGGTGCTGGACTCCCATATGGCTGACCATGGTTTAAGTCCTGGACCTGGTGGTTTGCTTTCTCACTTTCTCTTTCTCTTTCTCTGTCTCTCTCTGGACAAATTAAATAATAATAAATAAAATAAAATAAGAAATTATTTTATTTTATTTATCTCAATTTGAGCAGAGGGGGACAGAGTGAGAGGGAGAAAGAGCAAGGTGGGTAGTGAGAAAACAAGCCAGATCCGGGATGCAAACTATGGTCGGCCATGTGGGAGTCCAGCACCTTAACAACCACCACTACCTGCTAGGCCCAATAAATAATTCTTCTTTTTTTTTTTTGAAATGTTTTCGCTATAGGGTGCATGCGCTCGCCAGACAGAGACAGAGAGACAGAAAGCGAGAAATCAGCCCCCAGGGGGGATGGCCACGCCGCAATCCCTTCTCCTCTTGGGATCTTGGGCACGCAAGCATACGTGCCCGGTGTGAGTTTAAGCCACCAGGTCTGGGACTCGAACTGCAGTCAACTACATGGAAGTCCAGCAACATAGCCATTATGCCAACTGCTGGTCCCAGTAATTTTTTTTTTTTAAATATGTCGATGTTAAAGTTGAGGCCATATCATTTTCAGCTGATGGCTTAGAGACCAGGACATTTGAATGCAGTGTGTTCTGGGCCTGTGGTCAGTCCTTATCCCACCTGTCCTGACCAGGGTTCCCTTCTCCTTGCAGCTGTGGCTCCATCAGTGTGAAAACTGAACCCATGGAAGATTCCGGTAGGTACACTGATGCTTTTAGAGTCAAGCGTGTAGTAGAGACTTTCTTTCATTTAACTATAAAAACAGAGGATTGTGGGTAGGAGGACCAGAGCACTCATTAATCTTAACTTGGGCCTTATTTGCAAATAATCATCTTTTATTAAAATATCTAGAAAAGAGAGCCTTGTAATCCGGTTAATACTAGGTACTAAGATGTCATTAAATAGCTGCATTGTGAATGAAATACTATTTTAATGATATTTCAGTTAGAACCCGAATGTGTCTCCCAAGGCCCTGTCACAAACCCACCCTTCGTCCTCCCCAGTTTCTTCCTTTTGGCTGGTGGACCTGATAAACAGTTCTCACCCTCCTTAAAATAGGCCTCTTTTGTTCAGGCCTCTCTTTGGAGATATGGTTCAGTTTGAACAGAAATATGGTCCCCATTAATACGACCTTCCACTGTGGAGTTCATGATGCGGTATGAATCGCTTGGCGCTGCCTGAGAGCTGGCCATCCATCAGTCTAATTCCCTGTGATGTTTACGAGCATGGAGCTTGCTACATGGACTGAGGATTTCAGTGGTTTTGAATTTTGAGTTTCTCTCGCTCCCTCCCCTGCTTCTTCTCTCCCTCTCTCTTATTTATTTATTTTTTTTGAGAGGTTTTTGCTATAGGGCGCATGTGCTCGCCAGGCAGACAGAGATAGAGAGACAGAAAGTGAGAAATCACCCCCTAGGGGGGATGGACACGCCGCAATCCCTTCTCCTCCATTCTCCTCTCGGGATCTTGGGCACGCACGCACACATGCCCAGCGTGAGTTTTAAGCCACTGGGTCCGGGACGCGAACCGCGGTCGACTACATGGGAGTCCAGCGACATAGTCATTACGCTAACTGCTGGTCCCCCTCTCTCTTATTTTCAGGAAAGGCTGGAACTGTTTCCATTAGCATTTCAAACACATTCCACAGATGTCAACAGCGGTTTCAGTTGCCTGGATTAAAAAGGAATTTTTCTTGACAGCACAGCTAGCGAACACGTGTTTATCAAATGTTTCTGCTAGTAGAATTACTAGTGCCTCGTCAAACTGGAGCTTGGACTTTAAAAATTTATTATAAACTATTACAAGCATTATACATGTGTGAAATAAAAGAGAATTTAGATTAGTATGAAGAGGAAAGAAATTTCTTTCCCATTGCTAGACGTGTGGCTGAGGCACCTATAACAAAAGACATCTTAACAAAAGACAAGCTTACAGATTTATTTAATGTTTTACGTGGTATGGAGGCTTTAGAAATGAAGACCCACAGCCAGTTGATAGCCTGGTGGTTGAAGTGGCTAGATCCTATATGGCTGACTGCACAGTTTGAGTCCCAGACCCAGTGGCCTGAAAAACACACTGGGAGCATGTGAGTGTGTGTCCAAATTCCTGAAAGGAGGGAGAAATGGAGGAAGAAGAGATTCCAGTGTGACAGTCCCCCATGGGAGGGTGCTTCCTCACTTTCTCTCTTTCTTTTGCCTCGTTTTTCTATGGCAAGTGCATGCACCGTCTGGCAAAAAAAAAAAACCAAAAAACTAAAAAAGCAGAAAAAGAAAAGAAATGAAGACCCCAAGGAACAGGGAAACCTGAACAAGTTAATGCTTAGGCTTGGTGAAGAGTACATAGTTGTACAGAAGTACAGCTGAGCGAGGGAGGATAAGCTCATGGCAATCAACTGGGGGGATTGTTCAGACTCTCTGTATCTCTGAGTCTTCTGAGATAAGGATATTCCTTTCCTCAGGATATGAATGGGAGATAGCTCTGGAATGAGGGTCTTCAGGGGAGAACGGGCAAGCTGAAGGAGACTGATTGTGCGTCTTCTGTTTCCTCAGATGCTAATGTGCCATATTTTGGGATTTGTGACCTGAACCTCATCAAGTAACAAAGGAGTATAAAGAAATCCCTTTTCACTCACCCATTCTCCACACAAAATTTCACCCTGTTAAATCTCCCCGCATACCTCAAATGCCTGCCCCATTTTAGAAGCAACACTCTTTTTTATTTTTTTAAATTTTTAGTTTGCTATAGGGTGCATGCATTTACTAGAGAAAGAGAAAGTGAGAAATTACCCCCTTGGGGATGGCTGTGTTGCAGACCCTTCTACTCCAGTCTCTTCTTGGGGTTTTGGGCACACATGCACATGCACCTGGCGTACTTTTCAAGCCGCTGAGACTGAGATTCAAACTATACCGTCAGCCATTTGTTATCCAGCCGCCTTAACCTCCACACCATCTGCTGGCCCAAAAGGCACCCCCCCCCTTTTTTTTTTCAGAGAGATTTCTACTATAGGGCATGTGCACTCACCAGAGAGACAGAGAGACAGAAAGTGAGAAATCACCCCCTAGTGGGGATGGACATGCCCACAGTTCCTTCTCTTCCATTCTCCTCCTGGGATTTTGGGCATGCACACACACATGCCCGGCATGAATTTCAAACCTCCAGGTCCAGGACTTGAACTGCGGTTGGCCATGTGAGAGTCCAGTGATGTAACCATTATGCCATCTGCTGGTCCCAAGGCAAAAACTCTTAACTGTTTTGAAAAAATTATTTCAGATCACTTACAAGCACATATATAAATGACTTCTGTTTTCTTTTCTTTCTTTCTTTCTTTCTTTTTTTTTTTTTGGAAAGGTTTTTGCTATAGGGCATGTGCGCTCGCCAGAGACAGACAGAGACAGAGAGACAGAAAGCGAGAAATCACCCCCAGGGGGTTGGCCACGCCGCAATCCCTTCCCCTCCATTCTCCTCTCGGGATCATGGGCACGCACGCACACGCGCCCGGCGTGAGTTTAAGCCACCAGGTCTGAGGCTCGAACCGCAGTCGACTACTTGGGAGTCCACGACATAGCCATTACACTAACTGCTGGTCCTGTGTTTTCTTTTTTTAATGCATAAATAGACCTCCCTTTGTCAATTTTCCTTTCATCTTTTATCAGATTATCTTTTTGTCCTTTCCAATTTCTGAGCAATTTCCTCAGCTTAATCTATTTCAAAAATATGGCTTTCAGCCATGTCCCTCCTGTTTCTAGATTTTTCTACCAGATTTTTCCTTTTGACAGTCCCATTTTAAAATACCTGGTTTCATGATCCTTGTGAATCCTCAGAAGGTCCCTCAGATCTTGTAAATTAATACTAAATAGCGAATCCCAAGCTGTGCCACAATTTTTGCTTTTGTTGTTATTAAAATTTATGGGTAGGGACCAGCAGATGGCATAATTGTTACATTGTTGTATTCCCACATGGTCAACCATGCAGAGTTCGAGTCCTGGACCCAGCAACCTCAAACTCACTCTGGGCACATATGTGTGTGCCCAAAATACCAAGAGGAGAATGGAGAAGGGATTGCCTCATGGCCCCTGGGGGATGATTTCTCATTTTCTATCTCTCTGTCTCTCTGGCGAGCACACAAGTCTTACAACAAAAATTTGTTTAAAAAATTTTTTATGGATAAACTATGTGATATTTTAGTATCACTTTACTTTGTGAGCACGTACCCCAAAATGTAGTGGCTTCAACAACGGTTTTCTCTCTCCACGATTCGTGTGTTGGCTAGGGCAGCTCAGCAGGGGCAGATGGTCACAGGCCTGAGGCCTCAGTTGGCACAGCAGGGCCTCTGTCACCTGATGATGTCACATCCTCCATGGGACTCACCTGGGCTTGTTCCCATGGCAGTTAGGTTCCAGATGCAGCAGGTGAAGATGTTCAAGCACGTTTCAATCTGCTTGTATCCCCTAAGCTAATGTCTCATTGGCCAAAGCAAGTTGCATGGCCTGGCTCAGATATAAAAGGCTTCATTTCTTGGGGCCAGCAGGTGGCGTGATGGTTAAGGTGCTGGACTCAAAACTACAGTTTGACAAATTGCTTGTTCTTGAGAACTTTCCCATCAAGAATTTAGTAGAAGCAGGTATACTTCTATCATTTTGATGTTTTTGTTAATGTTTCCAAACAATGTACTTTGAAATCAGAATCACTT